ACAGGTTTTCAGGTATGACCAATATGTCAGGATATTCTCTCCATTACCAGATTGCAAATGGCCTGCGGGCAGAGTCAGCTGTTATTTTGGTTGTATAACTCTCGACGTGTGGGTGTGAAATAAATCCTAAATGTGCAACACTAAAGGTGGACTGGATCTTGGAAATTATCTGGTAATATATCCTTATCTTATATATGAGGAAACTGAGACCTAGGGAAATTAGATAATTTGCCCAAGGTCTCATAGCTAGTGTTAAGTTGATAAGTTGATGATTTCAGAGTCTTCTAGAACAGCCACGAATTTTAATTCATCTGCCTTGCTAACCTGCTCATAATTTATAAATTCTATGCATGGAGGCATAGGCTTCGGTTATTTGAGAAAATGGACTTGTTCTCTTAAATACTGCATTAAATTTGTTACATCTAGCATACACAACTATTTTGAAAGCAAGTTTTTTTGAAAAATCCTTACTATTAGTAAAGTCACGGTGGAATACGTTAATACTGTTTAACATTCTTTTTAGTTTTGGGGGACTGCACTTTTTAAAATTTTAAGACAATGAAAGAAACCAGTGGAAAGAAGAAATTTTTCTACAACAAATAAAAATAAACTTGTGGGAAATATTTGTCTCCATATCCAAATAATCACTCTGTATGAGGCTGAAACTAAAAATTCATAATATCACTGAATTAATATTTACTGATAAAAGTAACAATATACTGCTTTCTATAGCTTGATTTTGGAAAAGTTTGCCATTGCCATGAGAGTTTAAGCCATACTTCAAATATTTTGTTTTCTTAACTTCAGTGGAATAAAATCCATTTATTACCAAAACAGTGTACTTACTGATTCAGGACAGGAGTGTAGGCAGTTTTATCCTCATCAATAATCGTGACCATCAGTGTAATAAGTTGGGGCCAAAAATCCAAATTCTTGGTGGTTGGTCCCTGATCTTCCCGAGGAAGGTCCCGTTTCTTACTCTGCTCACAAGGTCACGCAACATGCAAAAGAAAAGGTTAAATGGTATGACTTTAGTTAGATGTCACTGTCAAATAGGAGGATCAGAGAAAATGGGTAATGGAACAACTCTCAGATCATGCCAGCCAAAGCTATTAAATTCAGGTTTCCTCTCTTCATTGAATGCATCCCATAGGGTAAAGTCACAATGGCCAGGCTTGAACTCCTAAATACTTTGGTTCTGGAATGGAGGTTTCTCTTCCTCTACTGCAGTTCATGACCTTAGGAATTATTATTGTAGAAATTATCCCTTTAATGTGGCTTCTTCCAAGGCAAAAGGTTGAATTCTGTTTGTACAATGATGTGTGTGTGTGTGTTGTATATAAAATTTGTCCTGCCTAAATATTTTGTCCATAGTCACACTGGTAGTAAAGTGGGCTGAACTCAAGCAAGACGGCCTGGTTACAAAGCCAGTACTGTGAAATACGACAGCATATACAAGTTGCATGAATGGTCTGTAACTTTCTCATTCCACTCACAAATGTATCTAGTTAACAAAAACTCCCTAAGTCTATCTTTCTTTTTTGGGCATGTATGTGTATTTAAATCATCTTGGAATCCTTCTTGATTTACCATACTGAATGAATTCTCCACTCTCACCTCTAGGAAGAGTGTTGCCTCGATGATCTAAATTTACAGTGAGATTAACAGAGTATAATAACAATTTTGAATGTTTAACATCTAAACTTCATATTCAACAAACACAATTCCTTTGAACACACAAATAAATTATTCTGGTCACTTTGTTTGGTGGGCATTCTTCTTATAACACTTCTTTCACATTTACTTTTTAAAATTAGGCAAAAAAGATAAAGACGAGACAATCTTCACTCAAGTATATGACTCAGTGGGAAGCATATGGTTTCCTTGACTGTTTTTGCTAAATTATTTATAATCTTATATAGTCAGGATATCTGAAAGCTCCAATGTGTAGCTCAGGAAATTTATGGGCTCTCATACAAAAGGTGGATTCGATTTTACTTGATCCAATCTTTTGCCCTACCCAACTACCATGTATTTTCCAAAGAACAGCCACCCTCTGCTGAATGGTTTCATGCCTATCGCCTAATGCTGCCCAAGAGAGGTAACCAGATTTGGATGAGTCATCACACTATTATTATTCTCACTTATGTTAAAATATAACCCTGTATTAAATCCACTTACTGTTAGAGACCTCATACACAGACTATAATGCACCTTTAGGGACTTTAATTTTCCTAGGGTGCTTCCAAATGCTGTTGATTTACCTTTAAGCTCAAAATTTAACAGATACTAAAAGTTGAAGAGCTAAAATAGTCAAAAAATTAGTGGCTAGGACAAATTACTTCAAATTGTCAGAATGAACTATAAGCAGTCTCCAAAGGATCTTAAGAATCTTATATATCTGGTCCCTGAGAACCACCTGAAACTCTGGCAGCCTTCCTCTTTTAATTCCTTAGGTACACCAAGGCACATGAGAAGATCTTTAATAAGAAAAAAGAAGCAAAAAAGGCTTACAAATGTCTGACTTTGCCTATTATTAAATTACATTTTCTATTGAAATTTATCTTTCTTTTATGAACAAGAATTTATTATGGTCACAATAACATAATTATTTATTCATTACATTAAGCTCTATAGATTTCCTTCTCTATGATGTAGTTAGAAAGCCAGAGAACCTGGTGAGTTGTGAAGATTGTAAGTAAAGTTAGTTCTGATGGCAACGGTGGACTATATGAGAATACTAGCATTAATCATCTTGATGTGTATGTAGCCAAACTATATGCCTAATGTTTCAAGTAACGTGATTAAATAAAAATAAATGACTACTGATGACATGTCTAACACCAGAGTCACTTACCATCATTCTGCAAAGAGTGATCTGGGAAAGGGCAGAGACCAAAGTAGTTGAATATACATTAATTCCAAAGGCCCTTAGTTGTCACAGATTACTTTTTTATGACATCAGAGGATTACAGTTGGTAATGTTTTTTGCATAAAATTCTGTATGCTGCATCAGAATAAACCAAACCTGATGCTGAGTCATGAAGTCTTTACGTACCACATATCAGTAGCATAAATCATGTTTTATGTATTTTACTAGTGCATTTGAATAAACTGCATGTTTGAAACATGTAGTACAGCCATTATATAAGAATACTTACTTGACTGCTTAGGAACTCAGTTCTTCTAAGTAACACTTTATGAATATTTAAGAAGTCTACTGGGGCATTTGAAATTGTGGTTGGAAAAATTCAGATAATGGCAGTAGAAATTCTGAAAGCTAGTAATAAGTGTATTAATATTTACTAAAACCTCTATGAATATGTATCAAAAGAAAAGTTTAATAAAATATATTTATATTATATAAAAGTACAATACACATTAACCTCATTAATAACAAATAAAATACAATAGGTTTATAAAGCTATGACTTAGTATGTCAGTCTTAATATGGTCATTGTTATTATAGTGTCTAAAAATTATTTTGTTAATAGATAATTGAGGAAAGAGATATGAAAGAAAGACTATGAAAGTATAATGGGGAGAGAAATTTTTAAAAATAGGGTGTAGGATCAGCTGAAAAAACTTCTAGTCATCATATTTATAAAGGATATTTCAATACAAAAAGCTTGTACAGACAAGCTGATAAGATGTACATTATACTTTCACAATATCAAAGAAGAAAATATGAAGATACTCCATTAAGAAGAGATCAATATACAGAGAGAACCATTATATGTAAAAAAGTGTTGAAATAACAGATTATATCTTCATGGTAGTAGGACTTAGCAATACTTCTAAGGTTGCTACAACATATTTCTGTTCCATCCCATGTATTTGTTCAATAGCATATAATTTTGAAATACCTCCTCTAAGGAGCTGGCCAGACAAGGGTTGGGGGGAGATATTTGGTAGAGTAATGCAGTGGGATGTTTAAATGCAAAAGCACATAACACTAATTGGGGAATTACTAGCCATGTGAGGCTGCAGGCTTTTGACAAGTTTCTCTAACATTAGTTCTACTGGATATTAGTGAGTATTTCACACACACACACACACACACACACACACACACACACACACACACGGTCCATGATCAAATTGAGGAAATTTTGCTTTAACGAAGTTAAATACGTTATTTCCAGACTTCTTGTAGTAAGATGCTAATGTACATTGTGATTCTCTAAGATAGTGGTTCTCAAACTTTAGTGTTTCTCAGCATCACTGGGCAGGCTTGCTAAAACACAGATCTGTAGGCTCTACCACCAGATTTCCTGATTCAGTAGGTCGAGGGTGAAGCTTGAGAATTTGCATATATAATAAGTCTCAAGTAATTCTGGTGCTATTGGTCCCAGGGCCAATTTGAGAGTCTTCTACTCCCCTCCTATTCCCCACATCCCATCTTGTAAAACATTCCACAGAAAAAGTGTTCCTCTAAGTATACTTTGGGAAACAAAAGGCTAGAGAGATGCAGGGGTCAAATACTGAAAGACCTTTTGTGTTATATGAAGGGATTTGCATTTAAACTAAATTTGATGAGGACTATTATATGATTTTAAACACAGGAATACTTAATTACAGTTGTGTTTTTAAAAAATGATTTGGCAGTGGCAGGAAGTTTAATAAATTAAAACTTATGAAATAGTCAATAAATAAAATTGATAGGTTTATGAAAATACTTATGAAATAGTTAGGTAAAATTAATAGAACTCATTATGTAAATGGTGAGAAAGAAGAGAGAGAGGGAAAAGTCAATGGAACTATCCCGAAGGTAATTAGGTAAACCAGCCTGGAGTTTAGAAAGCACTCTGGACTACTGATATAGCTTGAAGAATTCCAGGATATATGTGGTAGCTGAAATTATGGAGTAAACAAGTTTACTCAAAGAGAGAGAGAGAAGACTACATGGCTAGAGGCAAAACCTTGGGGAGAAAGTCTAAAAGAGAATAACATTTTATGAAAGAGGGGAATAGATGGGGGAGTGAGGCCCCTGTTGAAATGGGAGAAAGTGGGATCCAGAGTAAATGTTGGAGGATTAGACTTGAATGTAAATGAAGAGCAAGGCTTCCTCTGAGTCAGGCAATAAAGAATCTTGCAGATAAGTCTTGTTGATGGTGAGAAAGGACAGCTAGAAATTTCTATCCTGAGAGAAGAGGAGGAGTAAATAGTAAAAGTTTGAAACAACCTCTGCAAGGAATGAAAGTGGGCCTTGAGTTGGACCCAGAGTGGCCCTGCCAGGGAGCTGGGGAGCGCTGTTGAGGGTGGGTCCCTGCACTTACAAGGATGCTACTCTGGACCATCATGAGCTTCCTCCAGGACTGGATTCAGAAGTCAAGGAAACAGAGTGTTGGATTTAGTACTGGAGGGCAATGAAGTAGGAAAAGGATTTAAGTGTTTGACCAGAATGGTTGGAGTATTGGAACAAATATATTTTATGGTCCAGAGGAAGGAAGAAGAAAAATGGGAGGGAAGATGGAGGAGTAGATCTAGAAAAAGGAGGGAGGAGAAAGGAAAGACAGCAGATTGCTGGAGTAGGATGTTTGTGTTTAGGCACCCAGACCATGGCGGGGCAGGAACAGAGATCACGTAAAGGGCTCTAGAGTGGAGGTCGAGAAGAGCTGAGGAAAACGATACCTCTGGGAAGATAAGGAAGCTGTGGTAACTCTAAAAAGAACTTAACAGAATTTGTGTGTGTGTGAGCAGGTGACTGCTGCAGTGTACATAGAAAGATGGTCTTCTTTCAAGGTAAGTGATGGCTGAAAGTTTGGCAACAAGGCTTACAGATGGTAGGAATTTGAAAAATCAGGACAGCGTGAGTATAAAGACACAAAAGAAAATGAAACAGAGGTGAGCCTATTAAAAAAGAAATAAACTTTAAATTATAACAAAAAGGCTAGCAAAGTAAATTATTATTAAAATATGAACTAGATAGCTCTTTTATAATAAGTTTGCAACATCCTCTGACTCTGAGTTGGCTGTA